CGACCGTCCAGGCCTTTCTCAAGCTAAGCAGAGTTCACGGAAGTCTTTTGCATCAGTTATACAAGGCATAGATGACTCTTCCACTGCTAGGTTTGCTGCCAAAGAACCCTTTATACATATGGGTGAGCCGACAGTAGTTTTGATTGAGACGGAGGAGGCTACACTTTCTGATCCTTACAAATATACACTTGTAGGGAAATTTCCACATCATAAGCACACCATGAGGAAGGTAAGTAAGATATTTTCTAAGTTTGGATTCCATGGTTGCTTTGAGGTGGGATTAAATAACAAAACACACATACTTATACACCTTACACGTGAGGAGGATTACAACAAACTTTTTCTTAAACCTTCATGGTATATTGATAGGTGTCCAATGAGAGTCCTTAAGTAGCCGTGTGAGTTTACACCTGAGCAAGAGATACTGATAGTTCCCGTATGGATATCCTTCCCTCTACCTCCAGTACATTTACGTGCCAAGGGGTTCCTTTTTGCTTTATCTCGGGCAATAGGAATACCTTTGAGGATCGATGAGGCCACCTTCAACTTGAGACGACCTAGTGAGGCAAGGGTGTGCATTGAGGTGAATTTAGGGCATAAGTTGCCCGACAAGGTTTGGATTGAGTACGCTGGTAACTGTGACTTCTAGCAAACAGTCATTTATGAAAAGCGACTGATTTTTTGCTTCTCTTATAAACATTTGGCCCATTCTTATGATCATTGTACCACGGTTCCTCCTCCTCCCCCCTACAATTGCTGTGCGTCCCCCTGTTCAGCCCCCTATTACTACGACTAACAAGGGTAAAGGCAAGGTGATGTTTGTGGAGCCAAAGAAATAGTGGGTACCAGTTTCAGCAAAGCCTTCTGTGCTTCCCACTACTACTTCCGCAGTTACAACATAGTCAATATCTGCACCGAAAGTTCCTACCTCTACTCCCATCATAGTTGATCCAGAGGTACCTCCATATATTCATTCAGTTACTGAGCCTACTCCAAATGCTCCTATCGAGTGCCCACTTTTCCTATTATTACTTCCGTTGCTCACCCCACAGCTACTACTGATGTACCCCCTGAGCCGACACATATTAGTTCTCCACCATTAAAGACACACAAATGGTACTCAATCAGCAAAAGGATCAAGTACAGGGACAATTTCTCATACCACTCTTGCACAGGGGTTGTTGGCTGAGATCAGCTCAGAGCGACATGGTGTCAAGCATATGTTAATTGATCACTTTAAGAAAGACCATGGAATGAAAGTTGGATCTACCGTGAGATTTGCTATTGAGGACTTGGTTTTTAAACTCTTTGGTGAGGGACCATCTGTGATTAAGACTCCTACACATACACCTTCACCCGGTCCTTCTATCATAGCTCCTACACAAAATAAGGTGAAAGAACATATACAGAGAGACATGGACGGCATGGGCCTTGGAGACTGCGTGCAAAATGCAGAGGACGATGTCCCTATAGTCAACAGGTCAATCTCTCATTGCTCAGATGTTGTAGCACAGAGCACCATGAGATTAAACGCACCTGCGACTAGCACCATGAGAACAGATTCTCTCGCTTTTCGCCCGACATGTAGTACACCACCTTTCGAATAGTACTTTTCACCTAAGCAGGCTCCTTCACGTAGACGAGACCCCTCTCCAACGAGCGAGCTAAACAACATAGACTATTATGATCCAGAAATGTTTTAGACCAGATGCATGACCCGATCGATGTCTATGTACTACCACCCGAAGATTTACCCTTAGGAATACCCTTGAGTAGCTTTCACTAGTTTTTGTTCATGTCTTGTTTATTGTGATTGCATTTTATCTTGAGATATTTGTTGCAATTTACATTTGCTGGAGGTCAGGTCTATGCCCCCTCCTTTATTTGTATTCTCACTTTTCATTATATAAAATAGACCACAATAGTGGTATTTGTTTTAAAAAAAAAACCCTAAACCCTAAACCAAAACCATTCTCTCCATTCTACTTTCTCTCTCTAGCCCAAAACACTCCACCACTACCTGATAGATCTCGACCCCCAACACTCCCAAAGAATCAAATAAACCAAGGTGCAACAGTTTTGGAAGCAATTGTATTGGAATCAAATGAAAACCATGTGAGGATGTTTTCCAAGGTCACCAAAACTCCATCTTCTATCGCAAATTAGGATCTAGGACCATCACCATTGATTCCAGAATGGCTGAGAACTCTAGGGGTGGTGGAGATTACATCTAAATCGCCCGGAATTGACCTATTAAACTCCGAGCAACCGAATTCTGATTTTGCAATTAAATCTTCTGTGGCCACTAAATAGCGACACATGCCTGACCATTGGATAGCCCATGATGAGATAAAGCTTTATCTAAAATTTTTGACCAAACCGACGTCGAACGCGTCGCTGTCGGCGATCGAAAGTTACGCCCAGTCGGTCAAAAATTACAAATCAGGCCAATCCCGAACTCATTTTTGGAAACATGCCATACCATGATGATCAACATGAAATTTCGTATCTCCCTGTGAAAAATCAGAATTTTTCGACACTGTTTGAAAATCGTCGTCGGAATCCGGTGGCCCACCGACCGGCTCATTGTGGTCACGTGTCGGTGCCACTAGAGCAGAATATGGAAAATTTTGTTACGGAGATAGTTCCACCATCGGATTTTCCACGGGACGTCCCTACATTAACTAATCAAGCTCGAAAGTCGTATGCGACTGCACTTTCTAGTAAATCTGTAATTTCTCAGGCCGAGCACAGCCAATGGAAGTCTTTTGCACACGTTTTTCAAGCTCCACAGGACTCCAATGACCATAAGTTCGCCTCTAAGGAACCTTTCATGCATATGGGATAGCTGGCTGTTGCATTTATAGAGGAAGAGGGGAATCTTCTTTTTGAACCGTTTAAATTCACACTTGTTGGCAAATTCACACGTCGCAAGCCCTCCATTATTAAGGTACGTGATAGTTTTCAAAAATTTGGTTTTTACAGTGATTATATGATAGGGCTTATTGATGCCACTCATATTTTAATACACTTGGCACACGAAGACGATTACTCCTGCCTATTCATTAAGCTCTCTTGGTACATCGATGGTTATCTCATGCGCATTTTTAAGTGGACGCCCAGTTTTAATACTAGGCATGAGACCCCTATTGTCCCCGTTTGGGTATCTTTCCCATTATTGCCCATTCACTTTCGGGCAAAGAGTAGTTTGTTAGCCTTAGCTAAGGCCATTGGAGTCCCACTACGTATTGATAAGGCCACTTCAGATTTACGAACACCTAGTGAGGCACAGGTATGCATTAAGGATAATTTGGAGTATAAGCTTCCAAATAGGATTTGGATTCAACACGAAAAGTGTGGAGGATATTGGCAAACAATTGTGTATGAGAAGAAGCCCGATTGCTATTTTCGGTGCAGACATTTTGGTCATACTGAGGAGAATTGCCGCCCTGTACCACCACCTGCTCCAACTGTGACGCTACTCCTAAGCCTACTACAGAGATGGCCAAGGATAAAGGTAAAGGAGAGGAGGTCGTTATTAAGCTTCCTAAGAGATGGATTCCAGTTAAGAAAGATCAAAAGCGACAGCATGATGCTAGCACATCTAGAGTCCAAATTCCGCCTTCTGTGTCTACTGTCGTCACATCGGTCCCATTACCTACTGGGACTAGCTCACATGCTCAGACCCAGCCATCTGCTCCTTCAGTAGCTACTCCCGTTAATACAGCTTTGCCAATTATCAGTGCATCAGGTCCAGCTATCTCTACTTCTCCTTTAGCTACTGTCCAGGTTACCAGTTTGCCTATTACTCTGATTTATAATCCAATGTTGGACGAGATCTTAAAAAGGCCACAGATACAGGATTATCCGATAGACACGGTTAGTAGAGCTTCTTACATTCCAGGTCCGACACCTAGAAGAGGTCAGGTTCCTTTTCCTACTTCTTCTCCCATTTGCCATCAGAATGTGGAGGTATCTATTCCTTCCTTGTAGTCAGCTCAGTCAGATACAGAGGGATCATCTCGAATTGAGGTTTACCAGCAAGGACCCTTTTGCAGATCTTCTTCTGATGACTTGGTTGGTTTGGTTGAAAGGACAGAGGATGACGGATTTGTCCCTGTTGTTCAGAAGAGACATCCACGTGCTACTGACACTCCATTCCCGAGTAGAAGGATCACTAGGAGTAAGTCACATAATACCTCCTCACATTCTCCATCCCTATGAGTACCATCATTTGGAATGTGAGAGGTGTAGCAAGTATAGCTACTCATCGGCGCCTGAAGAAACTTATATAGCTTCATCAGGTTTATTTTCTAGTTATACTAGAGCCTTTTGTTCTTCAACATAATTTTGCATATATTCAACGTTATCTGCACTTTGACATGGGAGCTCAGAATGAATCGAATAAGGTCTAGTTTTTCTGGAATTCGAGGACTAATGTTACTGTTATTGTTAACCATCCCCAGTTCCTTCACGATAGAGTTGAGGACCGACTAGCTCGTCCCATCTATTTGACTTCGATTTATGCATCATGTGATGCTACTGTCAGGAGGGATTTGTGGGCAGGTCTTCACCACATCTCCCTTAAAATGGACGATACTTGGCTAGTTGGGGGAGACTTTAATGTTATTACACAGGATGGTGAGCGCACTGGTCATAATACTCGTGATCGAGGCACTACGGCTTTCTCTGATATGATGTTAGATTGTGGTTTACAGGATGCAGGTTTTCTTGGAAACTGTTATACTTGGACCAATGGTGTAGTCAGAAAGAGACTAGATAGGGTACTAATTAATTCTATAGCTGTAGCCTTTTGTCGACAGGTTACTATGAGATACTTGAATCAGACTTCATCTGATCACTCTCCTTTACTGCTTCAGTGGATTTCTGATGATGACTTAGGGCCTAGACCATTCAAATTCCTCAATGTTTAGACCAAGAATCATGTCTTTTTAGCATTTAACTCCTAGAAGTGGTCACTCCTTACTCATCTCACAGGGATGACCGCTCTTTGGGAGAAATTTTTCAGGCTGAAACAGGGATTTCGTTGGTGGAATCGACATGTATTTGGAGATATTTTCCAACGGGTGTGGGAAGCTGAGGTAGGGTTTGATGAGACTGAGATACTATATGATAGAGACCCTACACCGGAGCATTGTGACTTACTACATCATGCTCAGGCAGTTTTGAACCGAATCTTGTCTATTGAGGAGGGTTTTTGGAAGCAAAAGGCCAGCTCATGTTGGGTATGTGAAGGAGATCACAATACTCGATACTTCCATACGATGGTTCAGGGTCATCGGATCAGATCACGTATGAAGTCTATCAGGACACAGGCAGGGAAAGTTTTAGCCACTCCGATTGATATTCAGACTTCAGCTATGGCATTCTACCAGAACATTCTATCTGCTTCACCACAATCTTTGGACCCCATTCGTCCAGATATCATTCCCAGGCTTTTAACGGTGGATGATAATATGGAACTAAATTGTCCCCCTTTGATTCATGAGGTATGAAAGGCAGTCTTTAACATGGATGCTGACACTAGCGGGGCCAGATTGGTTCTCCACTTTATTCTTCCAACATTGTTGGGGATATTATTCAGGAGGATGTTTACATGGTAGTATTGGATTTTTTTTATGGTGGTCATCTTCCTCGAGGTTTTTCAGCTACTACTATTGTCTTGTTCCTGAAGAAGGATGTTGCTTGTAGATGGACCGATTTCAGACCCATCAATTTATGTACGGTGTTCAACAAGCTTATTACTAAGCTTCTGAACACTCGATTGAGTGCATTGCTACCACGCATTATCTCTCCATAGTAGAGTGGTTTTATCCCAGGTAGATTGATTGGGGACAATATTTTATTGGCACAAGAGCTACTCCATACGTTGGATGATAGAGTGCGATGAAGTAATACTATGTTGAAGCTAGACATAGCTAAGGCATATGACCGTATGGATTGAGGCTTCATCTATTTTTGTACTGGAGGCATTTGGATTTGATCATATCTGGATTGACGGGATTAGGTGTTGCATTTCGGAGTGTCATTTCTCTGTACTCATAAATGGTCGACCATGTGGTTTTTTCCCTTCTTCACGAGGACTCAGACAGGGTGATCCTATTTCACCATCACTGTTCATCATTGCTACCGATTACCTCTCTTGCTTGCTCACTTGGAGGTTTCAGAAGTTTCCTAGTAAATGGTATCAGCATGGAGATAGTACTCTTGTCTCTCATCTTTTATTTGCTGATGATGTGATTATATTCACCAACGATCAGAAATATTCTATCAGAAAGGTTCTCGATTGTCTAGAGAGTTATGAGGAAATCTCTAGTCAGTTGGTTAACAGGGACAAGAGTGGTCTTGTTCTACCCAAACGGGCATCCACTAGTCAGATCAGACGATTGGAGAATCTGACTGGATTTCGACACCAGTGATAGCCTTCCACTTATTTATAGGTCCCTTTATTTAAGTGGACCAAGAGGAGCTTCATTTATGATGACCTGTCCAGAAGATCAAGGACAGGATCTCAGGCTTGGCCTCACGATTACTATTCCCCAAGGGCTGCATTACTCCGTTGAAGTCGGTATTTTCTTCTAAACCACTACATCTTCTTCAGATCATGCAGCCTCCTAAGGTTGTCCTAAAGAAACTTGAGAACATCTTTAAAAGATTCCTGTGGGATTCTAAGGATCAGGTGCGTCGGTTGCATTGGAGGAGTTGGAAGGAGATTTGCCTTCCTACTGATGAAGGTGGTCCGGGCTTCAGGAGATTACAAGATATGGTGGATACTTTCTCCATGAAACTCTGGTGGTTGTTCCGCTCTCAAAGATCACTTTGGGCCCAGTTCTTACTTAGCATGTACTGCATAAGGGCACACCCATTACTTACAATAGTTACACGGTCAGTCTCTCCTACTGGAAGAGACTGAAATTAGTGGAGCCACGGATAGAGCCACACATTGCTTGGCACCTTGGTGCCGGTCAGATTTTCTTCTGGCATGACTGTTGGATAAGCGAGTTCACACTGGCATCCCTATTCCCACACAGGTAGCATACATCTACGAGGGTGCAGGACTTTTTTGATGATGCTGGGTGGGACTTTGGACGATTATTACAGGCTCTTACCCCTCACATGGCAAAGCAGATAGGGGCGATACCTTTATGTGCTAATGTCCCCGACCACATTGTTTGGAGGGCCACATCCGATGGTAACTTTACTACCAAATCAACATGGCGACTAGTTCGCTCAGCTCACCAATCTCAAGACTTGTATTGATTGTTGTGGAGCTCCATCTTGCCTGCCACTGTTTCATTCTTCTGCTGGAAACTATGGCAAGATCTCGTTCTGGTAGATGTGGTTATTCAGAGGAGGATTGGATGTCACTTAGGTTCTCGTCGTCAGTGCTGCTTTGAGATTGAGACCAGCAGTCATATCTTCACTGACAACAGCATCTCCTCTCAGGTATGGCAACACTTTGGAGACATCTTTCAGATACGTATAAGATCAAGAGAGGGGGTCAGACAGAGGTTCCTGAGATGGAGGTATTCTGGTCAGTACGTTAGCAGAGGACACATTCGCACTATCATTCCTCTACTGATATTCTGGTTTTTGTGGATCGAGAGGAATGATATGAAACACAGAGGGATCGGTATGGTGGCGAGATATATCATTTGGAGGGTCTATCGCACTATCTCTTTTTTCATATGGGAGGCTTCTTTAAGGCTATGCACTGGCGAGGGAACTTCACACTTGCATCACTCTTTGGCATTTCCTTGACTCTCCCCTCTCCTCCGCCACCTACTATTATTATTTAGCGCACTCCATTGGTAGGATCTTACAAGATCAACACCAATGGATACGTCAAGGATGGATTTGCGAGTGGTAAATGCATCATTAGGGATTACACTGGATACTGCATCAGGGCGTTCTCAGCATCTCATGACCCATGTTTAATTTTGGAGGTCGAGATCAGAGCTGTACTGGATGGGATTCTATTAACGGGAGGACTTGGATAATCAGGCATTTGGATAGAGTCGGACTCTACAACGACCGTCCACTGTATCACTAGAGGCAGAGGACCATGAAAAATTCAGGGTATATTAAGACAGATCACAGACATTATATCTTTCGACAGAGATATAATTTTATACATCTACAGAGAGAGGAACTAGGTTGCAGATACTCTTGCTGCTGAGGGTTGGAATCATCAACGTTGCCAGGTATATGGACCATTTGACCTACCTCGACATATTAGAGTACTCGTACAGATTGTTAGGCATGGAATGGCCAGCATTAGAACTTAATTTTTTATTCTTTAGTTTCTTTAGTTCTTATTGTAAGGGAAGTAGTACTTCCTTATTCATTACTTTACATTTGTCCTTTATCATTTGCTTTCTTTGTAAGGGAAGTAGTACTTCCTCATTTGTTCCTTTCATTTTTTTCACATGTAACCACGGTATTCCTCCGCCACAAGTGAGGGCATATTAATAAAACTAACGGAGGTACCGCCCTCCTTCCACTAAAAAAATCCTAAACCCTAAACCATTGGATGATAGAGTGTGAGGGAGTAACACTTTGCTGAACCTAGACATGGCTAAGGCATATAACCTTATGGATTAGGGCTTCATCTATTCTATACTGGAGGTATTTGGATTTGATCATAGCTGAATTGATAAGATCAGGCATTGCATTTCAGAGTGTCATTTCTCTATAATCATAAATGGTCGACCATGTGGGTTTTTGTCCTCTTCACGAGGACTCAGACAGGGTGATCCTATTTTCCATCACTATTCATCATTACTGTCGATTACCTCTCTTGCTTGCTCACTCAGAGGTTTCAGGAGTTTCCTAGTTTGTGGTATCAGCATGGAGGTAGTGCTCTTGTCTCACATCTTTCATTTGCTAATGATATGATTATATTCACCAACAGTCTATCAGAAAGGTTCTCGATTGTCTGGAGCATTATGAGGGAGTTTCTGGTCAATTGGTAAAGATAAGAGTGGTCTTATACTACCCAGACAGGCATCTACTAGTCAGATCAGATGATTGGAGATTTTGACTGGATTTTGACACCAGCGACAGCCTTTCACTTATCTAGGGTCCCTTTATTTAAGGGGACCAAGAGGAGCTTCATTTATGATGACCTCATCCAGAAGATCAAGGACAGATCTCAAGCTAGGCCTCGCGATTACTATTCCCCATGGGCCGCATTACTCTACTGAAGTCGATATTTTCTTCTATACCACTACATCTTCTTCAAATCATGCAGCCTCCTAAAGTTTTCCTGAAGAAACTTGAGACCATCTTTGCAAGATTCCTGTGGGATTCTAAGGATTAGGCGCATCGATTGCATTGGAGGAGTTGGAAAAAGATCTGCCTTCCTACTGAAGAGGATGGTCTGGGCTTTAGGAGATTACAGGATGTGGTAGATACTTTCTCCATGAAACTCTGGTGGTTGTTCCGCTCTCAGAGATCGCTTTGGGCCCAGTTCTTACTGGGCAAGTACTGCATAGGGGCACACCCTTCACTTGCAGCAATTACACATTTAGCCTCTCCCACATGGAAGAGGCTGAAATCAGTGGAGCCACGGACAGAGCCAAATATTGCTTGGCACCTTGGTGCCGGTAAGATTTTCTTCTGGCATGACTGTTGGATAGGCAAGTTCACACTGGATCCCTATCCCCACACAGGCAGCATACATTTGTCAGGGTGCAAGACTTCTTTGATGACATTAGGTTGGACTTTGGATGATTATTACGGGCTCTTCCGCCTTACATGGTAAAACAGATAGGGGCGATACCTGATGCGAACCCAGTTAGCAAGGTTGCAATCGAACCCACGGGAATTGACATCGAATCCTAAGAATTCCCAAATACTGATCAAGGTTTAGGAATTGACCCGCAAAAGTGAACTAAGCAACCGTACATATATGAAACAAACGATCTCTTAATCACATAATCTTGAAATCTCCTCCGAATTTATAGATTTGACCCAAAGAATTAATGAATCAAAAAATCCAATGATAACGATGATGCGAAGGACCTTTTGATTACACAACCCAAAGAATCTAGTCCGATGATTTGTTTGAACGCCACAAGATATTAAATCTTGATAAGTTCGGTATTTTGAAGCAAAACCTTTGAGAGGAAAATCTCCATTCAATTCATGATAAAAGTCCTCTGTATTACAATGAGAAAATAAATCTATTTATACTAAAAACCTAACAAGTAGCTTGAAAAGGAATAAAAGTCTAAAAATATAAAAGTTGCCAAAATTAAGAATTCTAGACAAAATAAAACTCCTAAGAATATAGAAATTACCAAAAATAAAGAATTCTAACCAAAACTAACAGCTTGTGAATTTTGGAAACTTTCCCTGTCGAAATTGACGTTACTGATCATATCAGTCCCTCTCTCTTCGAAAGGATTTGACATCGAATCCAAACCTTGAATGTTCAAATTATAGTCTTTATCTCCAATTAATGCAAGTACATGAAATGGTCCATCTCCTTTGGAATGCAATTTGGACCGCTTCTGTATTCGAACCCACCTCTTGTATATGTAAACCCAATCACCTTTACAATGGTTGAAGTACTTACGCCGTGACTGCTTACTTTGGCCCGTTTGAGATACTCCCAAAAATTTTATGTGATGAGTTATTGTGCATTTTCCATGTCCTTCCTCGCTTAGGTACTGATAGTAATGACACTTCAAATGGATGCATTTTTCCCGCCAAGTCAACTTTGTAATTCAATCCACCACATACAAATTCATTCCACTGCCTCTGAATCTCCATAGTCTCCTCAGGGATAACAAA